GATCTAAGTATGGCCTTTAATACCATAAACAATGAAATTATTAACTATCTTTCAAATAGACAACAATTTACTTATTTTAATTTAGTTAATTCCAAAATGTCCAGGTTTGTAAGCGGTGTTCCCTGGGGATCCATATTGGGCCTTCTTCTCTTCCTACTTTATGTAAATTACTTTCCTAATTCTTCTAAAATATAAAAATTTATATTTTTTGCTGATGACTTAAAAATTATATTTAATCTCATAACAATAAATTTTGATTCAAGGTTAATAACACCGAGCTTGTATAAGTTTCTTAAACTTAAACTAAATTCCTATTATTGACTTCAATTTCACATCGTCGCTAGATTCCTACTAATATTATGCTAAATTTTGCCGTACCTTACTTATTGTAATATCGCTTTGGCAATTTCCATGCATTAACACAATAATCTTTGTGCCTCTGGAGTACTTATGAAACGACCCATATTGATAAACTATTTAAACTACAAAAAGTGCTCAAAGAATATGCTCTGCTACTTCTTTTAAAATCCATACTAAAAATTTGTTCCATGCATATAGTGTTTTGAATAATTTGACTCAAATAAGTTACAAATTGGTATTTTATGTTTCCTTTACACAAAAGTATGTTACCTTTTCATATCCCCTCTTTATTTCCTAAGCCATCCTCTCAACATTTTCACAACATAAGATTTTCTCTAACCTACACTGCAATTTTACCTACTATATCAAAACTCAGACGTCACTGTATTTTCTATTCTGGTCAAAATTATAGAACATACTACCCTTAATCCCTTACAAATTGGCCATTAAGACCGCAATCTGGTCTTGAAACGGTACACAGTCTCTACCATAGATTGGCTCTGTGTGTTATTTATTTAAATATGTGGAAAAAAAACGAAGCTAAACCGTAATGTATTTGTTTTGTGTTTGTAATCTTGTTTTTAATACTTTAACTGACCTTTTCCTGTGTAAACCTGTTAATTCAGACTGCTTCCAGGTGTTTGTAGAAGCTTTGTTTTGTATATTATATCTAAATATTAATTAAGGATGATCCAAACTATCTTCCACACTAACACTTTGGTAATTTATTTAACATAACATTGCCCAACTACTTTTGTTTACTAATGATATAGCATATCTGTTTAAAATTATTATAAAGAACTGTTTTCATTCATCTCTAAATATCCAGGCCTCAGTGTAACCATAAAAAAGTAGACCATATGTCTGTAGATTATTATCAATATTTGTAGTTGTTCAATATATGCATGGTAAATTATTTTTTCCATCAGGTTTTAAAATTCCTAACCAATATTTAATCATTGGTGGATATCTCTATAATGCCAGATGAGATGTTGGATTACTACGGCCAAAGATCGAAGGAGCATATTTGGTATTGTCACAAGTGACATATAATTTTAATTAAGTTATTTCATTATCAACGAATGTATTCGCTATCAATAAATATAAAGAGAAGTTACGTTATATGCAGGGTTGTGCTGAGTATGCAAATTAAGGAAATTGTGCGGGTCATTTTACGCTTATGAATAGCCAGAGCTGTGTTAAACATGTAAATCAAGTAAGTCGTGCGTGGTATTGATTGGCCGAGAGCTATGAATAATGAGATAGTTTGTGAAATTTAAATTGGGTGTGACTTGGAGGTCGACTTGGTTGAGGTGTGCAAGAGAGAGGACGATGAATGGTTTGTATTTGAAGAAGTGAAACATGGTCCCTTTTAGATAGGAAACTTAATTTTTTTTTAATTTTGTGATATGCATCCGAACTTGATTCCCCAATATAAAGTTGGTGGATGCATCTACTCTGTAATAAATAAGTAAATATTTGATAATTATTTGTTAGGTGATTTTTTGTGTCTACTGTAAGTACATTTTATTCTATTTTAATATTTAATGTAAATAGAAGCTAATTTTAGACCATTATTTTGTTTATACTACCATCAATTATAGAGATGTAAAAAATTGGGAAGTTTTCAATTCAATTCACCTTTATTTACAAATGAAAATACATAACTTGCAAAACGCTACTAATGGCCACGAATGATTGGGTAAGTTAGAGCTGGGATTCGTAGCGCTATGAAGTGCACCTGACGAAATTCACCACCTGATAAACAGAAGGAACGTCTGCAGTATTGACCTGTTTCTTGACAACTAAGAGGAGTTGGTCCATTCCCAGTGTCCCATCGTGGGAATAAATATGTCTTGGTAGTATCAGCAAATTTTAAATTTTAGAAGATTTGAATATTTCAAGGCAACTGAAAGTTTGAGACCAAATATATCATTTCTATTCACTCGCGCACTTCATCACTACATCAAATACATATAAAGTTATGTAAGATACGGTCTGATATTACAATATTATTATTATTATTATTATTATTATTATTATTATTATTATTATTATTATTATTAATAATAATAATAATAATAATAATAATAATAATAATAATATTAATAATACTAATAATAATAATAATAATATGTCGTTCTTATATAACTGCTTTTGTTGAGGTCCATTATAGATACTGTATGTGTGATTGTGTAGAGCTTCTTATTGTTGTTTGTTAAGTTTCCAAATCTATGTCTAAGGAGTGATGAGTTACAATGAAAGTATAGGATACAATACTTCAAAAAGACTGTACCTCTTATGGTATACCTCTTGATTAGGGTGCGATATTTTAGGCAGCGTATCGAGTGCTGACGTAATCATTATAACCATAGCACTGTGTTTATTTCTTATAGTAATGCATTTCGTATAAAGGCGAAGTATCATAATCTACTGCTATCCCATTTAAGGGTGGAATATTGGAATTAGATTAATTAATCGAAACTCTGTAATACAAATATGTACTATTTCTTTTAGTATAATTCATCACAACATACACGTTTTAAGTCTATGTATGGATATAGGCGTAATTGTTTAACTTACAAATAATACAAGATTGGCCCTATATTGATAATATGCCTGGATTAGACTGGATAGAAGTTGCGTTGCTATGTTATGTTTTTATCTTTCAATAAAGTTTTATGGAAATTTGAACTCGTTTCGTGACCCGTATCTCCGCTCACTACATTATTTGCGTGAATTTGGTCAACTAGGAAATCATGTTGACGATAAGAAGTAGGCGATCATCGACTAATTCATTGAGGCTGACTGCCGCACAGGCGAGGGCAGAACTTGCAGTGGCAAAAACCGAGGAGGCTTTCGCTAAATGAAAAAAGGAAGCTGCAGCTGCATTGGAAATGATCGAGTTAGAAGAAGAGGTAGAACTCAAAGAGGTGAAATTATAGCTGCTGGAAACAGAAATGAAAAGAAAGAAAGATGAAGAACTAGAGGGAAGAATGTCAGATTTTAATGATCTACCCAATTATAACAGAATTGAGAAATTGTTCTGCTGCATGCAAAACCAATCCACAGGTATACAGGAGCCACAAAATGGTGAGGATGTTGGTGCAGTGCAGCCAGATATCCAGGAATTTAATGAATAATCTACTCCTAGAGCAGAAGGTGTAAAAGATTATGGTTTACATAGATTTAAAGAGAGTTATGTAGACAAGGATCACTACTACTCAGAACAAACCAAGTATCAACAAGTAATAATGCACATCAACTGCAAGAAACATCACCAGGGATAAGGAATGTACAATATACTCAACAAAGTATAAATTATTGTCACTCACCACCAGGTCAGTTATTGTCACCTAGGGCAGCACCATGGCATCGTATGTCATCACAGTCTATGGCATGTAATATGGAAGTATCAAAGAGCAACCTAGTGCCACACAAATCCAATGTCACCATTATTATTATTAATAATGGTGACATTTGATTCTGCAATTTTAGACGTAACACCAAATGGTTTGAATCTTGGTGGAAGTAGTCCACCGCAAAATAGAGCTAAAGATGAACACTAACTTATAATAAAAGATATTTATCATCTTCAGAATCTGTAACAAGCTCTGTATAATCTTTTAGTTCTTTCCCATACAAACAAATCTATAGAACTTCATAGACTTCTATAGAGAAAACGATATGTGAAGGGGTATGCTAGTAAAGGAGACCCTAGGGAAGTAATGTACCTACCGTATGATGTTTGTTGGTTTTTTTAATTAAATAAATTATGGTTTGTATATGAAAGATGTATTTTGTAAATCTACAGATATTGATTAAAGTTACTAATTTGCAACAAGGAATTGAGACCGTGGAAAGTTATGCCAATAAAGACGAGTTGGAACTGGGACGTGACCAATTAGAGACCAGTTGGAACTGGGACCATTGAAAACCAATTGGAATTGGGGTCAGTAGAAGACTAGTTGAATTGTCAAAAAACACACAACACCCACAATTTTTAAAAAATAAAATACACAGATTTTCTAAAGAAAATCGTTCAATAAAGCGACGTTAGGCAAAGGTGCATTGTAAATACACTGGTTGAACAATCTAAGATAGCTTATTACTCAAATAAGGTTTCTGAGTGTAGTGGAGATCAGAAGAAGCTGTTTGGAGTTATAAACGATCTAATGCAGAAGAAAAATGTTCCTGTATTGCCAACGCATGATTCTGATAAGGAACTTGCTGATAGATTTGCTAACTTCTTTAAGAACAAGATCCGCATCATACGAGAAAGTCTCAATGCTGATAATAATGACATCGATGATATCGCTTGTTTAACTGCAATGGATAGGGTTCCTTTGTTAGAACTGGCTCCAGCAGATGAAACTGAAGTTAGAGCTGTTATCAGTAGTTCTCCATGCAAATCATCATCAGATTTGGATCCTATTCCAACTTTTCTTCTGAAGAAGTGCCTTGATGTTGTTTTACCAACTATTACCAACATCGCCAATAGATCAATCGAAAGTGGGAGTTTTCCTGATTCTTTAAAGGTTTCATACATCAGACCTCTAATTAAGAAACCTGGTCTAGATTGTGAAGAGTTAAAGAATTATAGGCC